TCAATCACAAACCCAAGCTCCACTACATTCTTTTGTCCAGCCCTCTGCTGATCAATCACACCTTCAAGCGATCCTGTGATTGGCCAAATTTAAAACTTTACCTTCTTGCTCTGACTAACTCCATATTGCCATTTCACTATGCACTGCACTGGGAGTATTCACAGATCACCACAAAAGGTTAGTTTATAATTCATCTTTATTTCTAAATAGGATTAAATAGTAATCAAAGATTATGCATTATAAATAAGCATCTAAGAAGTAATTATATTTACATTGAATTATATATTTCTATTAATGTTTTGAATGAATGTGGTTTAGAGGCTGAACTTTAAACCTAAGCAATACTGTATTTTAATATTATCTTGTATACATGCTAAGTTACTAGTATATCTACATTAATGGAATTGCATAAGCTGTGCATTTTTGTTATTCAGTGTATTTAGTCACTCTAAGTATTTATTCCTGCTCTTTCTTCTGCAGGACATATCATGAATGGTGACATTTCAAGGGTATCACGTTTTTCACCCCTTGTGCCACACATGGGGTATGTGTAACCATTTTACTTAATATGTACTGTAAGCATTTTCTATCGTATCATCTAATAATACATAGTTGTAAGTAATGTAACAGAAATGATTGTATTGCTTTGATGATGATATGATATATAATATTATATTATGTTTAATATGCATATACTATATTATCTGTTGTTTCTTATTACAGGGTGACTATCATTATATAATAAACGTAAGCCTCACACCCCGTAGCTGTCTTGGTGTCATCTGTATAATATATTGATTTTAATATGACTCACCAGGGAAGTCAAAATTAGTTCTGTTCTGAATTTTATTCTATGCAGGTATACCACAAGTGGTCATCTTGACCAAGGTGGATAAGGCCTGTCCACATGTTGAAGAGGACCTGGGGACCCTGTTCTACAGCTCTGCAGTCAGTGAACTGGTGGAACAAGTGTCCCAACTCATTGGTCTGCCCGTGCCCACGTTCTGCCCGTGAAGAACTACGAGAAGGAAATGGAGTTGGTGGATGACGTGGATGTTCCTGCTCTGATCAGCCTCCGTCAGATGCTAAGATTCGCTGATGACTATCTCTACAACTTCCTGGATGAGGAGGATAAAGATGAATAAATATATGTTATTCATTACTCCATTTGGTCATAAACAACCAGACCAATGTACCGTTTTCGAATCGCAAAAATGAAATATCCGTTGTCCTTTTCACCCTGGCTTATCTCAATGAAGTAGCACGGTTTTTGGGAACACAGCTAGTACATGAGATTTAGGGTTGATCAGGATGAGAACACATTCGATGTAACCTACATAATCAAAACTTGCCTCACCTTTCTTGAATCCAGCAATATAAAGTGCTACTGCTTTAAGTATTCGGTTCAATATATTTGTATATCTATCGGATATAGATATGACTTTATTTAATCTACAAGAAGTCACGCTATGTCTTCCCACTATTGATTAACTGGACAGCTGGGTAACAAATCGCATCTGAGATTCAGAGAAACGAAACTTGGAACAGTGTCAATGTTTTTCAGGGAAACATTCGGTTCCTGGTCAGTTATGGTGACAAAGACCCATAAACCTGGCATGCCTTTTCTGTACTGAGGAAATGAGACAACTTGTGTATGTGAAAATTCCTTTCATTTTGGATGTGATAGATGTGTGGTTTGTTATCGCTTTGACTATGATGATGGTGCTGAGATCACAACTGATAATTCTGTTTTACATGGCCTAAATGTTATATCATCAAAGGAGCTTACTATCTGAAAATAAACAGAATCATATGAAATTACGTAAAAGCCTTTTGTTTTAAAGTTTGTAATTATTGTTTTTTCTTGCATGACTGTTCAAGTCAAATGTATAGAATCTGCCAGTAGGTTTCGGATTCCTTTGTTATTGAAAGAGCTCGATCATATTGGTTTGAAAAATAAAGGTTTCCAAGAGATTGTAATGCTGTAAAAATAATTAGTCAAGCGACTATGCAACCCGAGCCGCCTGTGTGCCCTGAACATATAGCGGGCCATTGGAGACAAACCCTACCAGTGGGTAACTACGTAAGTCTGTGGAATATATTCGCCAGGAAGCTTGTATGCTTGTCCTTGATCTGAGTGGTCAAGCTCAGACGCCTTGTATCATATCAACGTTGCTCATAATATCATTCACCAGTTTCTCTTGTTCAGGAAGTCTCGGAAGACCCGGGTTCGAATCCCCACATGAAGCCCATTTCTGGTATTCCCCGCCGTGATATTGCTGGAATATTGCTTAAAGCGCGTAAAACTTCACTCACTGACTCACTCACCTCACTTGTTACATGCGGAGTTAAAAGACATAACACATTTTAACATTTTGAAGATATTTCGAAATTTGCGGAATAACCTTCTAATGTTATTGCTAATGAGTCGCTTTGAAAGTGGTATGTGACCGTAAAATTAGCAAGCCGTTCACATCGCAGGAGAACTTTGAACTATCAAATGTAGCAAGTAACACTTTACTTTCAATCAGGGATTGTGTCTTGGCAGGACCTGGTCATGACAGTCATTGGTCTCCTCGGTCTTCCAGGTCTTGGACGATCCTGCACTTCACCGATGGCAATTAACGTCCTTCCTCGGCTAATAAACGCGTGGTTAATGTTCCGGTCAGCATCGATGTTGCCACACGACATCATTCCTGCTTCATGCATGCTAATGACTTACCCATATTCGTATATATTCGGAAAGTCCTGCCACGTCAGGAAAGGTTAAATTGTAGTGCTGTCGCCTTTAAATCAGTCCCAAAACCTGTAGTGCACATACTGAAATTAGGAAATTTATACCCCCAAAGTGCTTGACGCCAGCGCAACCCGTGCTCATACGACCCACAGCTTTAGAGATGAAGTATTGATGCATTTTACCTATTTCTAAGTAGATGTTGAGAAACTCACCCTCGGACAAATAATCTATTTTTACATACCCGATACTAAAGGCTTTCGTCCCTCCAAATTCAATTTTCATTTTTCAAGATTCAGCCTTTTAAATCAATGAATAAATTCATTTTATAAATTTGCGCCTGTGTCTTCTTATCTCGTAGGCCTTCGCATATTTAATAGTTCTTACCTTGACACAGAATCCGCACACTATAAAATGGTAAAGAGAGCTATATGGAAAGCCAAGTGATTAGGCCTTCACTCGTCACTCTTAAGGCTTGGGTTCGATTCCCCACATGGACCAAATGTGCGAAGCCCATTTCTGGTGTCTCCTGACGTGATACTGCTGGAATATTGCTAAAAGCGACGTGAACATACCTCACATACGAGTACAAGTATCGTAGTGTTCCTGACTAAGTATAGCCTTAATAGAATATGCTGGTAAGAATTGGTTTACAGCACCCACGCTTGTCCTAATTTCTAAAAAGGTGACCAACTGGATGGGATGGATCAGGCTTGCAGGCTTGGTTGATGCAACTCATCTTATCCCAATTAAAGAGTGCTCCATGATGTTAACCACTGGCATTTTGCCTGGCCAAGACTCAATTGTTTACAATCTGCTGTCATAAACTGATGCGCAAAGAAAGTACACACAGGTTGTGTTTCTTCCAATAAGATAAAAATAACAAAACCTTTGATGATGAAATGGAAAATGTATGTTGAAGCACACTGCAATACACGTCTTTTATGAACAAAATGACATTGTAACAATAAACAGCGATGTAGTGATGACCACTGCAGGCGGTTCCTACGATGCTGGAAGGTCAAGGCCATTCCACGCAGCGGTCGGTGGGGCCCATATGCATGCCAGCAGGACGAAGTCGTCTTGCCACTGTAAATCGGCTTACGCGATGACCCAATGATGTGGTTTCTGGATGACGTCACCGTCAACATCCAGTTGCGTAGGTGAATAACCCGCAGATAACGATCCTCTTGGGGTGTTGTGACTCTGGAACGTCCACTTCTTGGTCGATCACGTGTCTGGCCCGTCGTACTGAAACGGTTAAACAGCCGAATTATGGTTTGTCTTGTGCAACCCAATGTCGTCCTTGCAATATCGCTGTTGAAAGCACCCATTTGTGTCATTCCTTTGGCCCGTTCTCGTTGCGCCGACGTCAATCTTGGCATTTTCTCGTGAGATTTCTGGCAAGTGATTGTTCAGTCTTCACGACAAACAGGTTTTATACTCTCTGTCAGAAAAGTGCAGGTGCATGGGACAATAATCACAATTTTACAAAAATTCGTGCAAAACACGTACAAATGTTTTTGGTTGCATTTTGGCAAAATGAAATGATGATGGTTGCGTTCTATACAATCAATGTTTTCAATGATTTTATTAGTTAGAACGCATAATTGGGATTGCAACAACAATTACACCTGTGTACTTTCTTTTGCTCGTCAGTATATATTGCTGCGTGAGGCGTTAGACAACAAACAGACAAACAAACAAAGTATATGTTTATGTCGCGGAGATGTTGCTATTGCGGGATGCGATTTATCACTAACTTAATAGTTGCATATTCTTAGCATCACGCCGATGCGTGTTTTCTTAACATTTGAATCAGATCATCTTCAGATCTTCTGTTTTTCAAATATTTATGTTTACAAGCGGAAACAAATATTGATGTAATGGTGTTAATCGAGGGACATAATGTGTAAATATACGCGTTTCGCCCTCTTGTAAGGAGAACGTAGAAGCCTTCATGTTGATTTGGTGATAAGAAAGCTCTCACGCTCACCTGGGGGTTCCCAGATCCCGACATGACGTGAGTGAGTGAGTGAGTTTTCAGCAATATTCCAATAATATCGCAGCGGGGGACACCAGAAAAGGGCTTCACACATTGTACCCATGTGGTGAATCGAACCCGGGTCTTCAGCGTGACGAACCAACGCTTTAACAACTAAGCCACCTCACCGCCCCGGCTCAGTGAAGAATGCGGAAAAAGAAACGATTATAATCTCCTCTCTAACTCATATCTCATTTTCAAATTGCATGCCTTAATTGCTTGGGTAACATCGATCAAATGTATTTCTTTGTTCCCTGTAGCAATCAAAATTAAATTAAACATCTTTCGTGACACAAAACAATCAAATATGCCCTACAGAGCTACTTCCCTTTTCCTCAGGCTTCGCTTTCCTGGAAATCACGTGACAGGAAAGTCTCGACAACTCTGCACAGTGAGGTAAGTACGAGAGGATGAGTCAGACAGGCAGTCAGTGTGATATTTATTGGGCGTGTCAGAGTGAGTGTACGAGGCTGTGGAACTATTGTAACGGTAAAACCGTTTCTGTTATCTTGATATGTACCCAGATTTGCAACTGAGGCGATCAACCACGCATCAGTCTAGCGCGTTCTACTTTCGACCTTGTTATCCATTCGAAACCGGGCAAGTCATGAAGTTATTCATCAATTGATATGGGTCGTCAGCAGTGATCTGCTTATGCTCCATGCAATGATCTGGATAAGAATTTCTGGCATACTGCCTATTTGTCTTATTTATTTATTTTTTGTATTTTCATAGCAGGGTGGGTATGTTCATCGTGTGAAGACGAATCGAAAATATCCGGGATAGGTGGGAGGTGGGAGGTGGGAGGTGAAGGCATTCAAAATCGTCCTTTTGAAAGGATTACGAAACATGCTGACGCAAAAAGAGATGGCATAATTTACAATAGAAGCAGCATGAATATTTCTGCAAAACAAATTGATGCCTGAATTCTGTGCTTGCATTACAATAGTTTAACTGTACCAACCCTATTTCTCCAAAGAGGAACGGAAACTAGACATTTCTATTTTCGACTTCTTACCGAGAAATTCTAGCTGTAAACAGAAATGATACTTCGTGAAACAATAAAACAAAGGCTTTAGCACATGGTGCACACGACAGAGGCGTGTTAATAAAGCGGGTTATGATGATTATAGTGCTAGGTGTTGATTTCCAAGTTAAAACAATACGTAAATTCTGTACGCAAATTGAGTGGGTGGGTAACACCAGAAAACAATCATCAAATGTTCACAATTACCAATTGTATTCTAAAAATAGCTAGGTTTGCGAATTAATGCTGTATGGGAATTCCAATGGCTGTACAAAACAGAGTGACGATACATATTTTGTGACTTCATAATTACGATGGCAGTATAAAATAGTAGCAGTAATGGCACTGAAGGCAATGGTCATAATTTACCCCTAGCAACAGTGCTGAAGCGTCTGTAACAGATTAAGACTGGATATCCAGCATGAAATATCAAAATAACTTTCTTCACATACAGGCTGCTGATTTTGGTGAGTGAGTGGGTTTAGGTTTACACAGCCTTCTATATTGTCTGTTTGTGGTCCAATATGTCTCTGTTTCTGTGGCAATGTAATAACACGTCACAAACTCATTTGGATGAAATCATGTCAGCTATCAGAGATAAAATCATTTCAAGGCCATGTTTTGCTGTTTAATATTGTAAAACTAAATGATGGACGGACCTGACTTTCAGTACAGAACAACAGGGAACATATTTCGATATTTTGGGGTAGTTAGTCTCCTTAAAACAAACAACGTGTACTAATGTCTATGACAATAATATATACAAGACGTGTTTGCAATATTACGCGTGGCTAATTAGTGTTTTACGACATCAGATCATGGAACGAACTTTGACGAAGAAGGATCAGAAACAACTGAACAGATGGTTAAACGCAAGGAAGAACTTTGAACTGCTGTACAAGGCCGACCGTGATGGTTGTTCCAACACCGCCTTCCACCAGAAGTGTGACAACAAAGGGCCTACAGTCACAGTCTTCTATAACACGTCGGACTGCGTGTTTGGTGGCTACACCTCGGTCAGCTGGGACTCTACTAATGCCTACAGGGTCGACCCGACAGCATTCCTGTTCCGTTTGTACTTCAAAGGTTCCAGCAGCCCTAAAAAATACCCAGCAACAAACGGCACCAATGCAATTTACGGACATGCTAACTATGGCCCTACTTTTGGGAGTGGTCATGACATTTACAGTTTCAATGCGACTGTGGCCTTGAGCGGTGCATCCTTCCCACTCAATGGTTCTTTGGCTCCTGGTACAAGCTACGCCCTGGCGGGAGACAATGCCGCATCACTGGCCTGTTCCAATCTCAACTGCTACGATGTGGGAAGTCTACAGTGTGAAAGGTGGGTTGGTCAGATACTTTGGTTCCAGGAGTTATTGTCGATCAGTGCAGATGCGGGTTAGAATACATTTTCAGTGTTGTCGATCGAAGCTGATAACGGGATCGGGTTGTCAGTTTCACTGATGCATGGCGTTGTATCTCTGTTGCGTAGGTCAATGCTCATGACCTATAGTGGCCATCAGTGGATTGTCGGCTTCAGACTCGATTATTTGCAGACCGCCGTCATATAGCTTAAACATGGCTGAGTGCAGCGTTAAACAACAGAGTTATTGTCAGAATACAACTTTATACGAGTGACCACATGGTCAGAATTGTGAATTGGTTGATTGTGTGTCATTAGAACCTGGCGTTGTTGACCATTACCCACAATAGTAACTGGATTTCGCGGTACAGACTTGATTAGGCCCTTCCTGCCATCATATACCTGGAACAACAAACACGTGTATTGTAATTGGCATGATTTTTATTAATATGATGACAGACACATGCACCCTAACTTTTGCAGATGGAGGCATTATCAACTACGACCCATGGAGACAACTGACAGAATCTTAATCAGTAACTGAACTACGCGGTACAGACTTGATTAGGCCCTTCCTGTCATCATATACCTGGAACAACAAACACGTTTATTGTAATTAACATGTTTTTATTATTAAGATGACAGAAACATGCACCCTAACTTTTGCAGATGGAAGCATTATCAACGACGACCCATGGAGACAACTGACAGAATCTAAATCAAAGGTAGACAGCAGTTTTCCACGTCTGAACATATTTATATGTCAACTCAATTTCTGACATTACATGATTAGCTCCCTTTGAGGAAACTATTTCAGAATAGATTTCGATTACACAAATAATGTCACCAAATTGTCCTGGAATATTCACTTACTAAGCGGACACTACAGAACACCGTTAGCGTTAAGATAGCCTCTCTGTCTATGTCCAGAAACTACAGGCGGTAGTGTATGAGCTCTTCGACAAGATTCAAAACAAGGCAGGTTTTTATTAAATGCTTCTATGGTTAGGGCACCAGCCTTCATATTCTGGTGGGTACCTTGAAACAGACTCCTACTTTCACAAATTATCCACCACCCATTCATACATTGGTTAGCGTATCTCCCGAACATAGTACCTTTTGGTGACTTAAAATACTTTACCTCTACCAAGACTCCAGTCCCACTCCAGCTCTGTTTATTTCAGGAAACGAATCCATTTCCTGGAACAGCTAGTGAATCAAGCGAATCTAAAATCTGTCATGTGGATATTTTATTTTAGTAACTTGCATGCAGCTACTGACATCAGTGTTGGTGCTTCAGGTTCTGAAATCCGAGATCGAAACATATTCACCCATCGATGGGGTGAAGGTAGGACGAGTCAACATTCTACTGGTGGGGGCAGTAGGAGCCGGTAAGTCCAGCTACTTCAACACCATGAACTCAATCTTCAGAGGTCACGTGACTAGTCAAGCCTGCAGCGGAAGTGCCGAACACAGTCTTACGACGAATGTGAGTCGATTTATAATATTTGTGTGTGAAAGTTTCTGTTTTGATCATGCATCTTCACGAGGTAAGGGAGGTAGCTAAGAAAGTCAAGTTTCCACCCTTGAGGAACTAGGCAATAATGATAATAGTTTGATGGGACAAGTATATGCACATTCCGAAATCACTCTAACCCCTGAAACAAAATTCTCCGTAAGTGACAAATGCTTAAAATGTGTTCCGTATATTATTCAACTTTTACAACATCGCTAGACATTTTTTGTCCTCACTTATTAATCAGAGCCACTATGATAATAGTGCATTCTATCGACAAACCTGAAATAGTGAAAGCTTACTCGTAGAAATCTGTTAGATGCTATGTAAAATTTAAAGCATGTGTTTTTTTAAAAAAATGTTCATGTAGACATATATAAATTTTTATTTGATGATTCATAGATCTCTGAGAATACGCTGCAAGATTTATGTATATAAATTTTACTCTAAACACATTGACTAGATTTATATACGTTTTTATTTATTCATTTCAGATGTTTCTTCTAGACAGAACTCAGAGTAAAACATTCACAACGTTTTTAATCAAGTTATGTTAGCATATCCATGAATCCATGATTTTGTGTTGCGATCTTTTGCCGCAAAACACGGGAAATATGAACCCTAGTGTAATGATACCATATGTATGTATTTTTCTCTTAGTATCGGAAGTACAAAGTCCGGTCCTCCGAGACGGGTAAACCACTTAAGTTCCGACTGTGTGACACACGAGGCCTAGAGGAAGAGCAAGGCCTGGACGCGACTGACGTGGTAGCCATATTGATGGCCACCTTCCTGACAAATATATGGTACTTCATGATGCTATATAGATCTCATATCATCAATGCAAAACCCAAAATGATCATTAGTGACATGTCGGGTCAAATGCCTTCCGTGTGAATGTATGTTCCATGTTCGTCCAAATATGTGCAACGTAACTCGATTAAGTAGATTGAATCCACCATTTATCTTCTGCCCTAAATCCTTATTCACAATAATTACTCATAACGTTTAGTATGATCTGAGATCCATGTTGATTGGACCTAAAGATAGTTCTGGAACATTGTCCGCTTCAGGTATTGGTATTTCATGAAGGTCCATAAACGACATTAATGTCTTCGAAAACATACAACAGATCCTTTTATGAGCGCATGATATCTAGATGTCACAGAATGTATTTTATATTAGTACTGTCTTGGATCAATAAATGTGTAATTCCCATGGTTATTTCTGAATCATTTGTCACCACTCGCCCCTTTCCGTAACAGGTATTCGGCTTGTCCCGGAATAACACGAGTGGGTCACTAATGATTCTCGGATCCCAGAAGGCTCCCTGTGAGTCGGTGCTTGTCTGGAGGCTTTGTGACATGGCTGTTCACACAACACCGTATCCCGGTGCTCTTTATTGCGTTGTTCGGTCCGTAGTCTATTATTTACAGTCTATGATGTCTCTGTAATACTGGGGTAACCTTATAGGTAAAGTGTCCGCTCATAAAGCCGAAGACATTGATTCGAGTCCCAACATGTTTCAATGTGTGAAGCCCACTTCTGGTGTCACCATCTGCGATATTACTGGAATATTGCTAAAAGTGGCTTAAAACCATACTCACACAGTCTGGAATATTGCATATTGTGGTGTTTAACCGTATGCACGCAGAATATGTTTGTTTCAAACCTACCTTTTTTGTTCCCAGTTTAACCCAGCTGTGTCAATTTCGCCTGACACCCCTGGATACAATAAGGCCCCTGTAACACAAGACAAGATACACTGTGTGGCATTAGTCATGGATGGCTGTTCCGTGGACGTGTTCTCGGACAAAATTCTGCAGAATATGAAAGCAGTACAGCAGAAAGCTAACCAGAGAGGTATACACAAATACAGCAATTTTAGATAGGGTCTTCCATAACCCAATTTAACAACAACTTCAGCCAATGAAATTCGAATTTGTTTTGAAGCTATCTTGAGAAACCTACTACCCTTTGCCAAGAGTAACAAACCCGTGAAGATCCGGGTCTACAGCAACCCAGGAAGGAGTTACACTTCAATTGTGAGGCCCAGTTTTTACAGTTGTATTGTACAGTGTATTAAAGTTGCAGTGTTTTCACGTGAAAATTCAACGACCTGAATCTAACTAGTAGCCTAACATGTAATGCCTAATGTTCTAAACCACTCACCTCTTTCTTGGAATTCTTTCCATAACCCGACAGCCACATTGTGTCACTATGAGGTATCCGGTCGCATTTTATTTTATAGATTTTATTCAGACTGCGCAAAAGTTAGTTGGCGTTTAACTTTTCCTCGCTCAATCAAATCTTGTTTTAATTTCTTTAGACTAGATTTCACTATAACTCAACAGGGAAGTAGAATTCACTTCCGTTCTAATTTTATTCTATACAGGTATACCACAAGTGGCCATCTTAACCAAGGTGGATAAGGCCTGTCCACATGTTGAAGAGGATCCAGGGACCCTGTTCTACAGCTCTGCAGTCAGTGAACTGGTGGAACAAGTGTCCCAACTCATTGGTCTGCCCCTGTGCCCACGTTCTGCCCGTGAAGAACTACGAGAAGGAAATGGAGTTGGTGGATGACGTGGATGTTCCTGCTCTGATCAGCCTCCGTCAGATGCTAAGATTCGCTGATGACTATCTCTACAACTTCCTGGATGAGGAGGAAGATTAGAAAGGGAACCATACTGATGCCAATGATCAACGCAGATGTTCTGTACCCTTTCGTTGTATATGTTTTGGTTTCCTCATTTTGTTCATGGTTTCAAAATAGCCTGTTTGAAAGGTGGTAGGCGTTTTCAGATCAGACTGTTGAGAAAATATGAGATTTTATACCTTTTGCACTTACACATTACTCATTTACTACAACATTCAAATTGTACTCTTTGATAAACTTATGCATAAATTGTTGATTTCAATAATTTTGACATGATTAGAATCATATAAAACACGCTTAAATGGAAGACAATAATCGTCAAACCGAATCATAAATGATAAATCGTTCCTCTCCCCAATATATATATCTATAGTTAAAAAATGTTAAACGGCATCGTACCAGGTCAAGTGAAAACGATAACAGAGAAGTAACTTTATTCAGTATAACAGTTGAGAACACATTTTAATCCATTTCTCTCAGTAATACTAACTATTAGCCCCCGAGAAAGCTAGTATATAGTATATTCCAAAACAAATTACGTATTTAGATTACAGTGTTAAATTAAAACGTACGAATGAATAAATGCAATGTTGCATTTAATCGACTCTTGTGCCCTCTACCGGTCGCACATATTATTTCAAGCAAACCCCATAGAGTGAAAAAAAGAAGCGTTTTATTTGTCAAGTCTGAATCTCTTCCGTTGAGGGACACATTCAGCGATTAGTTTGAAATGCTTGTACATGATCTGTGTGCGTTGTGGACAAGCGTGTATATGCGTCTATAAACACATTTTATATCCATACATGTGTCTCGAACACATATACGTTCCTTTGGCAGAAACACACTGTTTGCAAATAGCTGAAACATTTCCATCTATATACATAGCTAAAACATTTCCATCTATATACATAGCTAAAACATTATTAATATGTATACATAGCTAAAACATTTCCATCTATATACATAGCTGAAACATTTCCATCTATATACATAGCTAAAACATTTCCATCTATATACATAGCTAAAACATTATTAATATGTTGTAAACCGTGGACGCATTCACTGACAGAAAAGTTCGTTATTCATCATATTGAACACTGAACGTAACCGAGAAACATTGTGAAAGAAGACAAGCTGCAACTCCCTTTATTTACCTTCCGTATCTCATAAGGTTACTCCAATATTTGTTATATCCAAGCTAACTATTTTTTCGTTTGAAAACATCCTATGTATGCATCTTTCTCTTTTTATATTTTACAATTTAAATGTGTGTTTTTATTCCTTTTATACAGTCAATTCATTTTTAACAAATACCTTTACAATGTATGTATATTTAATTATCTTATGTACTTATAATGCACCTTGTTATTCGGTATAACAGTTGAGAACATTTTTTAAGGCACTCTATATCACACCACACTTCTCTAACGGTAAAGTTCGTTATTCATGATATTGAACACTGAACGTAAACGAAATACATTGTGAAAGAAGAACTCTGTATTTTTACCTTCCTCATCTCATAAGGTTACCTCAATATTTCTTATATCCTAGCTAACTATCGTTTGGTGACATTCTATGTATGCATCTTTATGGTATATTTCCCTTTTATATTTTACATTTTAAATGTGTCTTATGTCATTTCGTTCTATATTGTCTCTCATAACCCATTTTTGGGTGGTTCGCTGTACTTTTAAGTAAATTCTATGTTTGTATTTTATATTAATTGGTGAGAGGTGAATAAAAAAAATCTGTCTGTCTGTCTCATACGATCAGGGAAGGATGGGGTAAGAGGCTAGGGAGGGGGATGTGGGAGGACCGTACTGAGCACATAGACGTACTTCCAATAGAGATGAGCAGTTTGCTAATAATGACGGGTGGTAAATATGCAATGATCAGATGAAAATGGAGAATTCACGAAATGTATCATAAACTAATGTACAACAGTTGCCAACCCGTTACACCTAGGGTATTCTGGAGAAATTCACCTGTCTTCTCGGGATCGGGTGGTCAGGCTTGCTGACTTGGTTGACACATGTCATCGGTTTCTAATTTCGCAGATCGGTGATCATGCTGTTGATCACTGGATTGTCTGGTCCAGACTCAATTATTTACAAACCACCGCCTTATAGCTGGAATATTGCTGAGTGCGGCGTAAAACTAAACTCACTCATTCACTCACCTCTCCTCTCCTCTACTGGCAGATTTGAAGAATGGTTTGACTTATATTTCGTGGAATTGTTGATCCATCGAACTGAGCAACCGATCAATTGGTTGCAAGACACACATGAGGGGAATGAACGTTTTGGCAGAATGATACCTCATTATCATTCCGTTTCATTTTTATGATTTAATAATGATATTGGTTTGTTTGTGGTTTGCTATGAAATATGGTTGGAATGGGTATTGATGTTTGGCTCCAGAGGGGACTTCAGTATACATACTTGTACTCATAAAGTTCAGACATCTCTACCTGTGGTTCGACTATGACTGTGTCGAATTTTGTGTGCAAAACGGATGTGTATGATATATATTGGAACGTGTTCCGACAAATGAGCTACACATGACATTGTTTTAAATCTAACACAAATATAGAGATGCTGAGCATAACCGATAAGATGTTTTGGATGGGCTCTTTTATTCGAAAGTGGCGTTTTTTTCGTTTGGCTTTTTCCTGCCGTATATCTATAACCCTTAGAGTGAAATGATTTTGAACAGACCATTAAGCTTCGGCATTTTCCATATATGGTCAGTGAGCGAGTAGGTTTAGTTTTACGCCGCAATCACCAATATTCCAGCAGTCTGTAAATACTCGAATCTGTACCAGACAATCCAGTGATCAACAACATGAGCATCGATCTACACATCTGGGATACGATGACATGTGTCAACCAAGTCAGCGAGCCTGACCGCCCGATCCCGTTAGTCGCCTCTAAGGACAAACATGAGATACCGAAGATCAATTCTAACCTGGATGGTCAGGGGTTGGGTGAAGCAATAGGCCTGGTAGAGTAGGGACAGAACTTCAAATTAAAATCAAAATCCTAAAACCCATTCCACAAAACCTATTCCACAACCAAATACTAATAACTAGATTCTAATAGTAATACCAATACTAATCATATTAATACTTAATACTAATCTTAATACTGATACTAATAGCTACATTTGATACTGAATAGTAACTACACTATATATACTATATACTAACAGCTTTGTGCCAATATCAAATTAATTCCATGCTAATAACTAAATATTAATATTAACATTAATAGTAACTTTACTGTATGCTTTTACTGTGGATAATGAAACTGTAGTCATGGAACCTGTGGCTGCCCCTATGTATTACTGATAAGTGTGTATTGTTCATGTCCATCATTACCCTACTTAATAATAGTAATAAAGCGCTCCTGTGCTCTCTAACCCATGGTCCAAACAGACAAATCTGTGATATCAACAACTTAAGCATCCCTCGAATGATAATAACTGGTTGTACCGTTGTAAAATGTTGTGTTATTTCCTGGATTGTTTACATAAAGGGACATAACTCCATGACCTAGTTTACAAGTAGGCGAAACTATCGCTGTACACACGTGGTTCCGGAGGACTCCAACCGTTGTGTGATTCAAAGGTACATACTTGATTTAACTGACGATATACGTTGGTGTTGCAATACATCCTTGACATGTCAACTAGTTTGTGTCAAATATAAGCGGAAGCCGAGTTCATAACGCTGATAATATGTGCTAGGTAAATAGCTGTCAGCCCCTGATCTCGAGTTCCAGTGAGTGAGAAGCCCCAACGCCAAAATTAGTTTTTTGGGTTAAAATGATGATTTTTGTGTGAATTGTATCTAGTTTATAAGAATTTCAATAATGCGTGAGTTTAGAGAGGTAATGCGTGAGTGCGTGACATTGGGGTAAAATGCGTGAGTTTCCCGCAGGATGCGTGAGAGTTGACAGATCAACTAAAGTACCCAATACCCAAATAAGTTGCAGGGCAGTCAAGGCACGACCCTGCATCGCGATGCGGTATAAGACCGACTCTCTGCTACCAATTCGTTAACTAATCTTGCATTGCAAACGTGTTTTTCCATTTCAGCTGACGCATCGAGCGTAATCAGGCGCCGCTATCTGTAAAAGATTTACTTATAGGTGATACTCTGTAGGATCATGTCGGCTCTTAAAGGTCTCGGTACCCTATACCCAGAGGCTACAATGTTTCATATTAACTTACAGTCATAACAATTAGGGTTGAAGTAGCGTAAAATAATTTTCCTCCGAAGAGGGCACTTAATTAGGACCACATCACTCAATGTATGTTGATCAATGCCAGAATTTTAATCGTAGAATGTTTGTAGTTTTAATTTATGGCTAAATTGCTCAAAATTTGCCAACAGCCGAAGGGATGATTTAAATCCAGCTTGGGTCCATGCAGGTAGCAAAAGTAATATAAGTCCCCATGGTCCCTAGCATGGTGATCTACTTTCAGTTGCTGGCGATATCGATCTATACCAGATTTTATATTGTGTTGTTTTGAAATGGTTTAGAGCATTTTACAATAACCTCAAACTACTGTAGTTTTTAATTAATCTACATTTAACAAGGTTTTTAAAAAGTATAAATATATTTATTCTTAGTACATAACTTTTTTTCGTCACGATATGGCTGAAATATTGCCGATGTGACGTAAACTTTAAACTCACTCACTCACTCATAACAATTTAGTTCACTGGTGTGACTGTCCGTTTTCACCTACAGTTTTCCCAGAAATTATTGAGAAAATCTTTGTTTCCTAAAACTGACAATAGAGTATCAAAATAGGTGTTACATTATGATTGTAGTAAGGTAATCAGTATGGGAGGCAACTCTTGTAGGCTGAAGAATGAACCTTACTACATCAATAGTTATCTCCCCTGGTGTAGCAGACAGCTTCCTTTGTTGACATGCATATGGCAGATTTGACAGCAGACGCGACTAGAGGGCTGGATCTAGATGATTTTAAATGAGTGTGATTAATGCAATACAGTTAGCTGGTAGACATGACATTCCTCTGTCATAGAATATTCTATCAGGAGTTGGGA